ACCAATCACCCTCGCTTCTCGATTATTTTTCTCTTCGATTTTCTCAGCCTTCTACAGCCAGGCATGCCATTTTCGACTGGTGATATATACTACTTATATTGCTGACATCAGTAGCACTTACTATAGTGGAACTACATTCTAATTTGTTCATTGGATAAACGAACTTAAATTATTTCCGAAGTAATAAATTTTATACAATGATGTATAAATGTGAAAATTTTGTCTGCGAAATAAATTAGAATAACGTGAACATGTCGAATTCTATCTGTTATATACTTGTGAAGATTAAATTACAGATAACCACTGAGATCTATTCATGGACTAATATTTCATATTGTTATTGTATAACTATTCAGTAACTAGAATGTGTATATCTATATTCCTCTTATTATAAGCTTCATTTTGACCAATAGATTACTAATATACGACTTACTGTTCTTAAGTTATGTTCAGTTTGTTGATTATGTTCTCTCACATTCACAGCCAGTTTTTGGCTTGATATTGTATGAATGTTATATCCTATTTTATGGTGCGATGTGATCTGTTTGTCGCATAGTGGGAGCTGTTATTGGTGTTCTGGGCTCAATTGGACGGGCTAGGCGAGTAAATGACTAATAAGGACGATAGGCTGCTCATACTGGTCGAACGTCATTTATTTAGCGCAGTACTAAGATTAGATAAGTCGTATTTCGATTGGTGAATAAATTATGTGATAACTAACCGGGCTCTAAAGTCACAACACTAGTATAATGTGAACGTCTTCAAAACAATTCAATGTTCCAATTGTTTTAAACACATAAAACAGGTAGTATTAGAAATGAATTGACTGATAAGTTGCGCTTACAATGAATGTTTTCAAAATGTATTATCTTGAAATAAGTTAGCTCATCTAATTATCAGTGAAATGTTGAGTTTTATTTCGTCCATTAGTGATTTAAGTAACCCAATGTTTATTGATAATGGAAAGTGATTGCATTGATTGAAAATATGACACATTTTGATAATTATCAGTTTAGGGGTTGTGGAGATTGTTAAGTTTTTGATTGAGATCATGAGCCGATTGATGTTAGACCACCAGGTTTTCAATGGTGGTCTAACATCAATCGGTTCATGATCTCAGTCAAAAAAATATGAAAACAATTTGAAATCTCCTCACTCTGGATAACAAGCTAATATTACCAGGGTAGATTTAAGATGAGAACAAACTATTTTTGATAAATACTTAGATGGGGTTTGAATTTTCGTATGGCTAAGGCTTCAATAAACCTTAGCAGATGCCCTTTTACACTTTTATACAACACCACAAAAGCCGAGTTAAGATCAATCTTATGGCCTGTGATCTCAAAATTAGTGTGTGGTACAGGTGCCAAAATGGTTGCAGAATCAAGTGACCCAATAATAGTAGAGGACAAACATCATTACATAGTTCTGATAATCTTCGTCTTCTTATTGCATTATCGAAATATATGTCTATAGAAGGATAGAAAAGGTTTCATCATAAATATATTCGAGACTCTTATTATCAAATCAAGGGATAAGGAAGGAATGTAAGGATGAAAATAATTTACGGGTCATATAATTGTCCGTTTGACAGATATGAAGAAAATGATCTCATTGGATGTCACTTCTCTTTTTACAAATGTTCCTCACACAGAAACTATGTTTTTTATGTGACTATATTGAAAACAATAACCTGATATTTGTATCCCAAAATATTATCTAAAAGAACTACTGCTATGATGTATTCTCAATGTGCAATTTAGATTTAATTATGATTTCTACAAGCAAACAGACGGAGTTGCAATGGCTCTCTTGATTTGATCCTCTCTTGGCTGATTGATTTGTGGCCAATCTGGAAAATAAAGTACTTGGACCAATAATTGAGAGATTTCATTTATATAAGAGGTATATGGATGATACTTGCATTATTTGTGAAGATATGGAGTTTTAAATAGTTCCAATATTTATCACCCCTCAATTCAATTGACTTTGAAAGTGGAGGCAAACAATGAATTACGTTTTCTTGATGTTCGATTCAATAGAAGGTCGGATGGTTTTTTACAGCGATATACATATAATAAACCGACTTGGAATAAGCGGTACAAAAATTTCAATAGTTGGGTCGCACTGAGTAAAAAGAGGAATTTAATTCACTCTTTATCCTCAAGGATTAGGCGAATATGTTTTACTGACACGATAGATGAGGAACTACTTCAACACACTCATGAAGAATGGTCACCCACCTAGATTAATCGAAAACAACTTAACACCTAGACTTAATCCTGAAAAAGCACCGACAGTACAAAAGAAAACTTTTTATGAACATGGAAGCTAAAGGAGGTACGGCCGCTAAAAACTTAGACGGCTTTTGAAACCGTTGAGTAAAACGTTCAACTGCGCTAAGCTCCGAATTGTTTACTCAAGCCGGCCTACCATTCATGGGTGTGTTAAGGATAAACTTCCGCTAAGGGCCACATCAATGTGCATCTATAAATTTGCTCATGTGGAGCAGGTTACATTGGCCGCACGAAGCGATCACTTCCCAAACCCATCTCAGAATACTAACCGGAGTGGATTTTAAAAGGAGAATGTAAAACAATTACTAGTTCTATACAGGGACATTTAATCAACTATGGATACATCTCTCCAAAGTAGTCTTCTTTTAAAATAATCTACAGTCAAAGGAACTGGATCGAAGAGAAGTCGAATCAATATTTTATACACTGCTGAGGCATAGGCAATCCACCAACTCAAACCCGAACTTTGAGTGCAAAAAACGATTCGTCCAACCTCTTATCCTTCCTTGGCCCTAATTTCCTTTTATAGTATTTTCTTTTCATTCATCATTATTAATTTCTATAAATTAGTGTTCTGTAATTTTAAACTGTAACCAGTTATTGTTATTATGACTTTTATGTTTTTTTCTTCATATCAGTCAATTGGACAATTATCTGACCCAGAAATTATTTTCATCTTCATATTCTTCTCTAATCCCTTGATAACTGTGTAACCGCATCTAATAATGAGTATAGAATCAATTTTCTATCCTTCTATAGACACATATATTTCCCATATAACTACAGATACAAAAGAAAATATAAGCTTATAGACTATCAATATGTAGTCCAACCAACCTCAGATGTAAGAATGAATAATAACCATTCAAACTCAGAAAATTAAGTAAGTGATATAGATAAATCAAATGCTAGAAAACGAAGGACAAAAATGACTGAGTCGTTAAGTATAACATGAGCGCACACTCCTATAAGTAGTGGTTTATTAAGATTTCTCCACAACTGTCTAGCAGATTATTCTCTTGACCCATAAAGCTTCGTGAATAATCTGTCCAACTCAGAAATTAAATACTTTCATAATGGTTGTGTTTCACGAGAACGCTGACTAAACACAAAATGTTGCTTCATGACTGATCTGAGTGAACTCCTAACCTAACAATATATGATGAAGTAGTTTGGATGATTCGATCACCTCACATCTCTCCAAGTCTCATCAGTGGTACTGACTGGTATTTTACGAAATATCGACACCGATTCAAACAGCTCTCTTGGCTTTTTCAAATCCGCTTCATATATGACGTGAGTGAGATAGATGTACATCTGCCAGACAAGGAATGATGTACTAAATGGCATTTCGGTTTGTTCTACTTTTATGACTGTAAAATGTTTCCCGTGAGCTTATAGGATTTTCACGGGTTACCAGTGTTTGATTATGGTTGTCTTCATAGCAGTGCTGTTGTATGTAGGGCCATTGAGTGTGCAATGTTGAAGTCAGATGCGTGGTATTAGGTGAAGATGGTGTGTCGACTAATGAGGTGGTTAGGACATGTGTTATGTATGCCAGAGCACTGCCTACCTCAACTAGTCATGTTTTCTGTTGTAGAAAGAGGTTAGACAGAAGCTTGGAGCAGGAAAACGAAGACGTAGAATTAGCTTATGGGATTATTTATTGCCGAACTGTGCAGACTATCAGACTTTTGTGATCGACTTTTTAAGAGACTGAGTGATTCAGCTTATAAATGTTCGTGGTGATGCTAATTTATCTGCTAGTTGTCTACGCTTCAATCCAAAATTAAAGAATTGCTTCATACATTTCAGTCCACAAACTCATTCTTTGTTCTGTAGTTCTATCTATTTCTTTTCATAATTATTGTGAATACCGTTACCACTTTGAACTCAAGTAGGGACAACCAATTCATTGTTTCATACAAAGCTACAAAATATCCTGGTAAAATATGCATACTTCACTTGCAAATTTTCATCATTTTTCCTCACACTTCTGTATGATTCTTCCAGTGTACAATTCCTTTCTATTATTCATTCAGTTCGCTTCAACTCAATCTCCTTAGCCTTCTGCTGCTAGTCTTTCCACTTCCGATTTATGTTACATACTACTTACGTCTATCGACATAAGTAGCATACGCTACACTACTACTTCGACTACTATAAAATTGGTTTTACTAGATTGACATCGCTACATCGAAACGGTATGGCAGCTTGAATATATATACGATACCCGGTTATGTATGAGTGGCAAATCAAATTACAGTCTACAATATTTTATTTACTGTTATTGATGAACATAGGTGCAGATGAATGATGAAATAGTCTACTACTGGTAAGATTGAAGAAAAGATAAAAACTCAAGTACACAAAAGAAAGTGTGCAAGCACATAAAACTTTTTTATCACACAAATATGTATCATACATACATAGACAGTGTGTATGTGTGTAAGTCATGTGAAATTACCTTCAAAACATAAAATAGTGACATACCATGTGAACACTACTGACATAGACATTTTGATAGCTAGACATACACAAATGAGAGGTATAAACAACAGTATAATATAATGAGACCAAACAGAACCGGTAACACCATTCAGTGTGATTAAGGATTAGAAAAACAAAAACAGAAACAAATGAAGTAATAACATAAAAAGACTAACAGAATAACAAAAAAAGTAAGAAAAATAATTATTTTGTTTAGAAAATCATTTCAATTGTATCTGAAAATCCAGTATTAAATTTCGATGGATTATAACCACCAAATACTAAATTATAATGCTGATCTGATGTCAATGTTGTACAACAGCTAGAACGAGCAAATATTAAATTTGGTCCTGAACGCCATTTCCAAGCAACTGAATCAAATATCCATGTAGTATCTAACGTTTCATGACCATTATATCCACCAACTAATAGCAAATTATCTATAGATTGTAAAATAAAAACACCGAAATGAAAAGAATAATTGTATGATATAAATTTTCGAAAGATTAATATAAATCTCTCTTTAACCTAGGGTTTAGAGCTAGTTGACATTTATTAACAAACCAAATTTTGTGGGCACGGATAATCCCCTGAGGAATACGAACTTATGCCAACCGACTAAACAGAACTGAAAAAATAGACCGATGTAAAGAGCAAGAACAAAGATTCTAGCAGAATAACATGAATTCATTTTATTTCGTAGGTTCTCGTCAGCTGCTTACAACCTATAATATTTAAAAGATAAAAATTACATAATGGGTTTGAATTGCTTACATGAGAGGGTTTATATTTAAGAAATGTTCGTAAAGTATGACATGGGTGTAAATGAATTAATAGGCTGAATATTGTAAATATATACCTAATGTGAAAGAATGTTCTAGAGCATTAATTGTGACAACAGTTCAAAGAGGTAGAAACAATTGATTACATAATGAATAAACATTGATAGGAACATAGTGAGTAGAGTTCAGTTGAAAGACTATTAATTTTTTAAAGATAGTTGAAAAAATAAAATCAATGACGTAATAAATATAAATTTTTTTATTTTTTTAAGCTGCAGCGGAAGAATATTTGTCACCAAGGCAGAGAAAGATTAACAATCATCTCCTTCTGAACACATAAATCAGGTTTTTGGCGCCTGATAGCAACTGCTTCAGCAAACTTCAGAAGACTGGAGTTTGGCTGCTTACTAATAACCTTGAATGATTGTAGGGTGTCAACCTGATGGCCTGTGTCAAGCAGATGTTTAGTGATTGCGCTACTTAGAGTCTTTCTTTCTCTTATTCTGACCGATGTAACATGAATCACTGTTTCAAAACAAAGTAATTCTAATTCTTAAGAAAGATAATAAGTTTGTCAATATGGAGAAAAAGTTAACAATATGACGAAATTCTAACACCAAAACCTTACTCCATAAAAAAAACCCGAATATTTAAAACAAGTTGAAATAAACATTACACACTTGTTAAACGTAACATTGATTGTAAAACATGTTAGTTGATATGATCTTGAGTGGATGTTAATATAATTTGAGATTCTAAGTGTAACTGTATCATGTCTTTAATTAACATTGTATAACTGAGCTTGGTTCCAAAAACAGAGTCACATCGATTATCGAAAATGTTATCTACTCCTAATTGTCCTTAAAACTACTGAATTGATTCAGCACAAAAATCATAAATGATGAGTATAATGGTGAGGGTCAAACGGTATTTGACTTGCCAACGGAATGTCAATATCACTACTCTTCATACCTTCTACAGTACAAAGAAACAAAAAGTGTAGCTAAAGGACTTGGTTAAATTTAATTTAATGGTGTTGATATCATGAACCAATCTAAGTTAGACCCCCCCCAATGAAACTATGCAAGCACTAAATAGACGTTCAATCCTAGTATGGGACTTTTCAGCAGTGCGCACCTACAAAGTAAAGACCAGTGAAGCTAAACTGTGTTGAATGTGAGACGATTACCTACCAAGGACGATGGAAGATGGTCAACTGGTGTCACGGATTGATTAAAGTTAAACATTAATACCGTTGCGTCCTGGCTCACTGGTCTAGAGGTTAAGCGTTCGCGTGGAAGACTGAAGTTCTTTGGTTCGATTCTATCGTGCATGATCATGGATGGGTATCAGCTGAGGAGTCCAGTATAGGGATGAAAAGGTCACTCAGTTGATGATGTAAAATCTGTAAAAACTTTATAACATCTATAACCTCATACTCTTAATTTACTTTATGAAATCAGATGATTTCAGAAAGTTAATAATAGAGCACTTTAAATTCTTAATTGGTTTTTAGTATATAAAGCGAATATCACGTTGAAGTATATTATTATTATTATTATTATTATTATTATTATTATTATTATTATTATTATTATTATTATTATTATTCGACCTATGATAATAATAATATTAATAATTGTTGTTATGATTAATAATGTTGGCATGTGCTTCATGCATTAAAATAATCAAAAAGTTTTTTTTTCATTATGAACAATGAAGGATAGTTTTTAAGTTATTAAATTAACGTATATACTTTATGCAATCATTATATTAGAGATTTAATAGAGAATTGTTTTTATTAGGTCATTCAATTCAGTTTAGTTTAGATAGCTATTATCTTGTGAAAGAAAGGAGGAATGAATACATAATTCAATTGTTTTACATAGATTCAGAATGATATATATATATATATATTACTCAAATGATAACTTCAAATATGTAAGGAAAGCGTTTGGGTACATATCATGTTCCACTGACAGATTCTTCACGATAGTAATAGCAATATTAGTAATAGTAGCGGTCAAAAGAATACTAATTATATTATAAAAGAGTCAGTCAGTAACAACGTAGAACTTCGTACGTACGTACATCAGTTCGAGTTGCCACACCACATTAGCACAGAGATGCACTTGTCGATTCAAATCCCGTAGTGGTAGAGGTAATAAGAGTATAAGCAGTAATCGGGAAGATTAGGGTTTGGAGATGTTATTTAAAGAGTATAATCCAGTGAAAGAAATTTGGAAAGAGGAAAAAAAGGGACATGAAGAATTCAGAAGATTAGAATTTGGGAGAACACAGAGAGTGGATGCACCTGCGCCATTGCAAACGATTTTGAGCCATGTCATTCAGGGTCTCTAACCATCGGTTGCTATCATCTCGCGGTCCCCAACCAGCTAGTCTACACCTACCAACATGACTCAGTTCACTTGTCAGTGACTTCATGGACTTGTGCCATGTTTTGGTTTGGCCGCCCCTAGCTTTCTTCCAACCTACTCCTATACCACTGAACATAGCACGTCGAGGCAGTCGGTCGTTGGGCATACGTAACACGTGTCCCAGCCATCTCAACTGATGAAGTTTCACTACTTCATCAATTGATTTGCCATCCTTACCTAGTACCCGTTTCCTAACAACTGTGTTACTTACTCGATGGTCCCATGATATATGAGCAATGTTTCGAAGACACCTATGATCAAATACTAGTAACCTACGGATATCCTCTACTCTTACCGGCCATGTTTCACTCCCATAAAGTAGGACGGAACGAACTGCTGCGCAGTAAACACGTCCTTTGGTTGATAGACGGATATCTCGCCTACGCCATAAATGACGCAAGTTGGCAAAAGCTATCGAGCCTTCTGTATCCGTGCTGAGATTTCGTCACACACACCACAAGGGCTGATGAGACTTCCAAGATAAGTGAAGCGGTCGACACACTCAACTACTTCACTCCCTATCACTAGTTCGGGTGTCGATGTAACCAATCCTGAAGCAACATTTTGCATTTCGAGGGGAGAATCGCATCCCGAACATGCTTGCATGTTGCTTAGAGTGGCCAGAAGACTCTGCATTATAAAAGAAAACAAAACTTATCAATTTCACAATACAATCTACAAATTCGACAAAAGTAGAATCCAGTTGAAAGAACTTAAACTAATGCTAATGTGAAAAAATCAATGATGCTGTTCTTAAATCATCACAATCTTGGGTTACAGTTGTTTAGTTAAAACATAAGAGATCATCTTTTTGTCTAAGCTCAGGACGGAAAAAATTAATAAATATCTATACTGTGATCACCGGAGTCAGACAAAGTTGCTTGCTCTCTACCCCTTCCTTTCTTCTGGTGTTGGACTGATTGATGAAGACCTTGACATCAGAAGGCAGGTGCGGAATACAATGTACATCTCGGAATCAACTAGACGATTTAGACTTTGCAGATGACCAAGCTTTTCTATCCCACACACACTAGCAAATGCAGGTCAGGTCAAGACAAACAGTGTAGCAGCAGTAGGCCTCAACGTACACAAAGGGAAAAGCAAGATCCTCAAATACAACTGGGAGAACACTCACCCAATCTTACTTGATGTAGAAGCTCTGGAAGATGTTGAATCTTTCACGTACCTGGGAAGTAGTATCAATAAACAAGAAGGATCTGGTACAGACGTAAAGGTGGGGACTGGCAAAGAGAAAGGACAGCATTCCTACAGTTGAAGAACATATAGAACTCAAAACAACTGTTAACCGATATTAAAGTCACAATCTTCAATATGAATGTCAAGACAGTCCTACTATATGGAGTTGAAACGTGGTGAACTACTACAACCATCATCAAGAAGGTACAAGTATTTATAAACAGTTGTCTACGCAACATACTCAATATCCGTTCACCGGATACCATCAACAACAGCCTATTGTGGGAGAGAACAAACCAGCTTTCAGACGAAAATGAAATTAGGAAAAGACGTTGGAGGTGGATAGAACATACATTTGAAGAAATCACCAAACTGCATCATGAGTCAAGCGCTAACTTGGAATGGTGAAGGGAAGTGGAAAAGAGGAAGGCTAAAGAACACATTACGTTGGGAATTGGAAGCAGATATGAAAAGGATGAATAGCAACTTGAAAGGATTGCTCAGCAGAGATTTGGATGGAGAATGTTAGTGGGCAGCCTGCAGTCTTTCACAAGGAGTAACACACGTTATTAAGTAAGTAATACTGTAGACAGTGCCAGTGTTTTAATCAACTAATTTAAAATTAAACAAAATGCCGATGTATTTATCTTGAAGAGAAAAATAGGAGAAATCGAATGATCATTAAATTGAACAGATTGTGTAATTATAATTTATACAGTCCGACTGATTTAAACATAAATTTTGTAGAAACCGATAAACACCACTTATTATATATGTATATATGATCAACCTAATTGATCACTGGTGAACTTTAATGAACTGGAATGAACAAAATTCTACTCCAGAGAGAAATAAACAAAATGATGAATGTTACACAGTAAGATTTGCGAAAAGATGAATAAATTTCATAAAGGGAAAAAAAATACTAAAGTAACTAAAATTTATAAAATAGCTAAAAGGTAACAAACGAATGGTATAGTATACAGTTGGATATAATAGTAAACTGACTATTTAAATAGATAAGTTAGTGAAGAAAGAAGCAGATCTGAAGTTTAAATGGATGAATAGTAGGCGCTGACGATGTTGTTGCTAAGAAAGATAATGAAAGCTCTATCATTTAACCATGTAACTTAGAAGATATAACCCTATTAAATTTATAAGTTAACGAATTTATTTATTCAGTACAGATTTATGCATTTGATACTTTTAGTTATGTAACAGTTAGTACTATTTTCTGTCAACTACACAACAGTAAAATAGGTCGAGAGAGAGAGAGGCAATCAATGTAAAACAACTTTCTAATAATTAGACAGACAAGTTTAGAATTGTAACCAGGAACAAAACAAACAAAAAATCATTCTACTCTCCAAATAAAAAATTAAAAAAAATGATCAAAAGTGAAAGAATGGTGATTTATTAGAGAAAATTAATCAGTTAATATGAAATTAAACCGATTTCAAAGTTTTATTGAGAACTTGAAAGAATTTCTAATTGAAGTTAATTCATTACATAAGTATGTTTTAATTAAGTAATTTTGTGTACAAAAAAATTCTTTGTTAAGAAAAATAACTGATTTTGTATACTAAGAAATTAGTTTGCTTATTGTTAAACCATAATAATTTACTAATGAAACATTGAAATCTTTCTATTTGTATTCGAATAAATATGAACTATTTATTTATTTAAATTTGTATAGATTTAAAATTCCCCCCAAATGCCCCGGTGTGGCTGAGAGTGGGAAGAGTCCGCTGTCTCTCTCGAATGCTCTCACATGATCACGCGTATATAGCCATTACCAGGAAAGTTCTACTCACTGCCTTCTCGTGGCATTACTGTTGTTAACGAAATTGAGAGGATGAAAAGCGAATGTACGACGCCTTAACCGGGTTGGTGGACACGGAGGATCAACCTAGGGGAGTTGGGAAAACTCTGATTCCAAACCAATAATGCACATGGGCTTCAGTATCCTGAGGGGATATATGACGTATGAACCAATTATTGGTCATCGGCTACCGTGGGAATACATCTCCTTACGTTGTTCGATTGCCTTGTGGGTCAGACCTCTCGGTCAAAGGCTCGGGGTGTGGGCCCTCTAAGAAAACCACCTGCTTCGGTCTGGGCACCCGGACAGTATCACAGCTATCACGCGAATTCGATGAGATTATAATTATTTCACAAAATACTATGCTCGCTCCGATCAGAATTCAGACATTTCAAATTCACCTTTATTATTATTACTATTTATTTATACACAAGATCACTTATCTACCTCGGTGTGGCGCATATGTATCTGGTGCTCAAATAAATAATAAATAAATAAGATTTAAAATAGAATATACTGACCTTTAGAATTCGGACAATATGTTAAACTGGCACCACGAAGTTGTCCGAATGAATTGCCTAATGTATTAGGAATATAAAACCAAGTATCACAACGAGGATCTAATGCTTCAACAGTTACATTTTGACTAGTATTATATATAGTGTTTGTATTGACAACTCCACCGATAACAACAATTAGATTTCGTGATGTCAAAACATTAGCACATGCTTCACAACGACCTATTTTAATTATACAGAAAAAAACAGATTATCAACAATTCAATTATAATGTAACTATCCATTTTATGGGAAATTCATTTTTAAATAATGGGTGTTTGTTAGCTACAATAATATTTATTCAATGAATGTAAGAAAGTAATTCCTAGTTGGAAAAAGTTATCTTGAGAGATAATAAATTTTATTCTCATAAACAAACTTATTTGAGATCAAATCACATCATAATATATAGAAGGAGAAGATTTTATGTTTTGTCAATGACAATAAACTTGAAAGTTTTTTTTTTTTGGTTCATTGCATCAATGGAATTTCCATTTCAAATCTACAGTTTGGGCACAGAAAGAAATATGCACGGATCGACTAGACTTCGTTTATGGGATAAGTTAATTACAGTTTGTGAAAACATTCGACATATAACAATAGTCGGTTTTCATTGGATTAATTATATAAACACTAATTTCATACTGACTATAACAGTCCTCTATGGTATGATCACAAAGAATTCATTTATCAATTATGGGAATATGTTAAATTTTTTTGACAGTCCTCTGATACGAAATGATTTTCTTTAAAATGATCCAAATGAGTAAAAGGCATGACATCTGAGGTTGGTGATAAGTTTGATAATTAAACACTCGATCCCATTTCTTATCCGCCAATAATAACCGCAAACTAAATCATCTATGGGACTATTTGAACAAAAGTGAAAAAAAGCTTGAGTTTAAAGTTAAGGAATGTATGGAAAATCGTACGTCTTTATACTCTTTAATGTAATCTTGATCGTTTAGAAAGTTCTGAATCACGCTAGATGTAGTATCAAGAAAGTTCCTATCCGAATAAAAACCTGACACGTGACCTGTCATCCCTTAGGTGTTTCGAAGATACCTCTATTCAATCCAGGTCGGATAAAATGTTTCCAAGAGTCTTCTGAGCCCTTATTGTTTTGTACGAATATTTTGGAATTCCCCGACAGTTAGAGTTATTGAAAACTATCACTTAAAAATAAAATAAATATGATGACATCAGTGAATACAAAGTAACAATTATATTTCACAATGACTGTAATATTTCTACAATGGAAATCTAATAATACTTGCTGAGGCATTATCGTACCTTGTAACATGGATGGCATATAAATCCATTCGTCTCTATCCGGAATGTAGGCTTCAACAGAAGATAGAAACTGTGCGTCTGATACTCCACCAGCAACAAGTACTGATCCCTTTGTATTTGTGATAAGCGGTCCTTGTTGAAGTGCACTAAGATCTACACCAACTGGATTAGTTCGAGCTTCATGTAAACTCTTTATCGTCTGCCAAAATGTAACATTTGATAGACCACATCCATTTGAAGACGCATGACTATTTGCTATTGAATCTGTTCGTGTACGGAAATCAGAACTTCTCCGAGAGCCATTTGTATACAAGTGATCGTCAAAGTTATCATGATGGCTTTTGGTTACCATTTCATGATTGATAAGCCAGGATTCCAGTGCCTCACATGTTAGTCTACAAACGTATATAAGAACGGTACGAATCGAAAAAGGATAAGCTATATGACTTAAACAATACGACATGATGAACGTAGAGCATAAAGACAAATTGCTAAATAAATTACTTCGAGGTTAAAGTTGGTATGAATTTCACAAACAAAACATGGATATTTGAAAATTAACCAGTAAATTGTAGTAAAAAAAACTAAGGCAATTATCCAGTAGAGCCACTGGAAGATGGTTGCACAAAGTCGCAAACTGACTGAGGTTAAACAACGTGAACCAGTGGATGCCGACTAAGTTGACGATCATCAACAAACCTGAAGGTTCTGGGTTCGACCCGCAGTAAAGTCAGTCAGTCATACAAAACTCAGAATATGGTATATATGTACATTAGATCAAGTTGCTACAACCCATTAGCACAGAGAGATGCCAGAATAGTACGATAGGTAACACTATTAGTGGTAGTAGAAAAAATCAGATTCTGAAAATATGATTCGAGAAGAAAGTATGGATTCATGATATAAAAAAGATCTAAAATAATTAAGAAACTAAGGATCTATGAAAAGGTAGTGATTGAGTGAACCTGTGCAATTGAGAATGATGCTGAGCATTGTGAACTAACGTCTACAGCTATTTGTGACCATTATCGTGCGAATCACAACACAGTCTGCACACCCAGTTACACAGCTTATCACTGAAAAGTCCTACCTAGGATAAATTAGTTGTTCAACACCCACTGGTTTTCTAACTAAGGTCAGTTTCTGATTTTAACCATAAAACTCAACAACCTTCAAAGCCCCTTTACACTAATAAAATCTATCTGTCTGTTACCTTAAGTGGAAATTCAATATGTCAAGCCTCTTTACAAAACATACAACTCTATAAGTGTATGTATCTTTGTTAGATTAGAAAAGAAAACAAAATTATTTGACTATCTTATTTCAAATACAACAATTTCTTACAGAGGCGTTTGGCGCTTCGATTAGAATCTAGATAATAAGAGTAATAGTTTTAGCACATAAACAACAGTTTATTTCATATAACATAAGGGATTCGTTGTAAAAATCCTGTTAGGTGAACTATTTAGGATAGTGATCTCATTTACCCGCGAAAATATATTTTCAAAAAAAAATAAAATACGAGACAAATTGAATTGATACAAATTGCGTAAACTTGTAAAACCATAAAAAAACTATATCACAATTATAAATTAGATAGTTATTTTACTGATCTGTGTTGAAAGTGTTGTTTTATTGACAACAAATTATGCAGATTTTTTTCAAAGGTCAAATGGCTTTGAATTCAAGTCATTTTTATTAAGGAAAGGAATGTTTGAGTTTAAAAAAAAAGGAAGTGAAAAAACAAACAAACAAAGGAATAAACTGATTCACTAAATAATGAATAAACTTTTAGAGCATATCTCATTGATGTTACTTTCAAACAAACAAGACAATTACTAATTTAAAGATCAATGTCACTAAGAAGAAAAGAACAGAAGAATATATATATATATTCAAACAAATTGGAAATATTCAATGACTTGTTTATCTGCAAAAGTTGGGACTAAATTTAAATAAACCAGTAATTAGGCAGTCTACCATTAAATATAAACAATAGGATTTATGTTTGAGTAGGATCAAAATAATTAAATATATCCTATTGTTACGAGAGAAGAGAAAAAATCATATCATTACAACAGGTTAAGGTTCTATCTAACAAATCACAAGTTGAATTTAAAAAAATTGTTTAGCTTGATCTTAAATTTTTGTATCTTCCCTGATAGTTTATTAGGCATAATTTCATAAGTGTGATCGAATACTAACAACTGAAAAGTGTGTTCTCCTCTCTCATTGAGCAAGTTAAACCACTGGAGAAAATTAGAAAATGAAGTGTTAGACAGTATACCGACTATATGATATCCAAACATTATAAGTTTTACAATTCGACAAAAAAATGTGAGTTTTTTTTATTATGAAGATTTCATAGTTTAATATCTACCAAGAGAGATGCACACCGGTTCGAAATATAATTTATAGATTTTGAGAGAAATGAACCTCATGATTTGTGCAGTGTTTCTGATATTTGTGGCAAAAGTGTAGTATATTGACGCCCTTGAGAAACTTTAATTTAAAGCCAACGAGAATACAGTTGATACATCTGAATAAATCAATGTGAAATAATCAAAGAATTTAGAATGTATACACGGCTTCCATATGTTTGATGAACTTAGTTAGAATCTCTGGATTCTCAAGACTTGTCACAATGTGCTCGGTATATATATATATATATATATATATATATATATATATATATATATACTCCTTCATATCATTTGACCTGTAGATCCCTTATAAGGTTGAAGAAAGTTTTACACTTGTTTTCACATAGCTTCTACGTTGTTAGTGTGAACACTAATTGTTGGGTCTACAAAATTATGCTTGTATATCACCACGTGATGAATATATCCGTATCTATGAATGAACCTCTTCTTATCGATTTTTCATCCAACAATTTGCAGTACGACAGCGCGTTGGTGGAATCTTGGCAATTGATAAGACTGTTGTTCGGAGGAAGAAGTATAACAGGGTCAGAAGTGTACAAGCCAATTGGGTAAGTTATGGTTTTCTCAATCTTAGCAGTAGGTTTCGGGATTCGAGATAGGAACTACACAAAAGGAAACTTTCTTAACGCTCGAAACAGAAAGGCCTCAAGTCTCTTGTCAATCATTGTAACCCTATAATTCAAACCGGAAAATATCTGCTGAAAATACGTATACACAAAAATGTTGTGCGTAGATTTACAAAGTAATGCTTAACAGACTAAGCACATAAACATTGAGCATCAACTAACGTTTACTGCCAATATAAATCCTTGCATCTATTATGATTTCCATTTAGAGTATAGCATTTTCAAAGAATGTATATATTCAACATAGAATAACTAACTCACTTATCTACAGATGCTAAATCCTTGGAGCCTGTCGAACCACCACAAGCATAAATTATATCAGGAAAATCAGAAAATGATTGTAAATAACTGGATACTACAGCTAGCCGACCTCTCTGTTTTGTCAGTCGTGGACCAATAATAGGAGGAGATACAGGTGAATCTTCATCGCTACATGATTCACACTGTTGATTACTATTGTTTTCAACGAATAATTCCATACTATCTAAACAACCTTTACGATTATAACCGCCAATAATTGCAATGTAATGCTTTGAATTACAACTCAATTGTCCAATGCCAAAACTTGACCGAGCTTCTAACATATGTAATGGGAAATCCTGGCCTGTACCATCATTATGACTAATGCAGAGAATTTCACTTTGATAGACTTGATCAGTGAATGATTGACGAAGTAAAGACGATCCAACAATGGCTCGCGCTAAATTTGAAGCAGAACTGCCGGTTACTGTACGGGTTACTTCATCTAATATTTTGATGAAAAAACATATGAAACAATAGAAAACAAATCTCGACGAAAAAAGATACGAATAAATTAACACACCTATATACATATATAAATAACTGATAAAATGCCGAAGCATAAAGATTATTCTTTTGTCCGTAAAAATACAGAATTCTATTATCTCGGGTTGTCGAAAAGAAAAAAATCAAATTACTTAACGAAATTTAAACGGACTTCATAACTCTAACAAGACTACTAACAACAATGGTTTCCCTTTGACAGCTGCGAATGACTGATTAAGCATGTTATGCAAAAATTTTAAAAAATTGGAAAAATCTTCTAGATATATAAGATTTTAAGTGTATAATAATAAATTAATTGAGTAAAGAAATTATACTCCCAACACTTAAAACCATGAGGTGCTCTATTAGGGGTGTTTAGATGTTTGGAAGTTTTCACTGCACAAGGCAATTTCTTCTTAAGGGAGCTAATAAAGAGGGTGGGTCAGAAGTGACGGCTTTGCCGATCAAAGTGTGACTACAAAAGCCAAACACTTGAGGTTGATGGCGAACGACCATTTTACTTCGGAGCCGAGAATTCGAAGAACAAGAAGGGATATTGATTTTTAAAGACCGATATTTTTTGATATTTCATATTATCTGATGGAAGGTGGATGCTTCTTGTTAGCCGTTAGAAATTCCTTGCTGATACCACCTCTCAGTAAAGTCGATAGAATAAATCATGTTATGGGTTTAAGTTGTTTTTGAAATAAACTGATGTATAACAGTTAAAACATAAGTTTATTACCTTCAGAAACCTGGAGGATTACCAATTATGGCTAAGTGTACTGATAATAAATCACGATGTGGACAAATAATGAACTTACCAGGTATATGGTCACCAGTTTAAACCATATCCTTATAACTACTTCTGGTAGGACAGCTGCGTACTACTTCACATGGCTCATTATTTACATCCGATTTCAGATGTTCGCAAAGTGTTGTTTCTTCGCTGAAAGTTATTTATATCGCAGACTTGCAGTTTTTCTTCACGCAGTGAAATCAGCGAACCGCACCTAGAAACAATTCAGAACTCTTACTATATTTTATGACTCAGCAACGACTTTTCAAAATAAGCGTTAACTGTCTACAAACTTCAGCGTAAGTATCCCAACATATCGGGATGTGTATACCTGAAAATATTAGCAATGGGACAAAATATATGTATTAAATCTGGTATAATGGGTTCTGCAGACAATTAAGTGGGAACTTGTTTTTTTAGAATTAATGACAAGCTAGATATATAAACGAACTTGTGACTAGTCAAATTTATTGAAAGGAATGAATTTCAGAACTAGTACAAATTAGTTCTTATAAAATAATATAAGGTGCTTGAAAAATAAACTGGTATATATAGAGAAAAAAAGGGTTTTATCTAATCTTCACCTACCATCATTATCCGATTTCGGTACAGAGGTACTCGTACACTCGGGCAATTCTGGATAGACACTTTCAGCACAACACTTGACAGCGTTAAATTCATTTTCAATTAGACTGTTTAAATCATTTGGTATACTGAAAGTATTCGAAATAGATGAACCACGACTTTGATGACGACTTCGTGACTGATTGACTTCATTCATTAATTCTTGATCCAATTGTTGGATGGATCGATGTGTCGGGGGACAACGTTTTATCGATAGGCTAACTAAATAACCTGCTAATTTGCCTAACCAAATTGATGTTGATCGAACTATAAATAGAATGAGAATGAAAACAGAGTTACGGTAACAATATAACTAGGAACTAGATTTCTGTACGTAACCAACACAATAATTAATCTATTCATACAATTGACTTAAATATCGTCATAAGAAGCCGTAGCATTAACACATGATAAATTAAATGAATTGGGAAACTTCGACCAAAAGATATTATATCTCAATAAAAAAATACACCAATTACCATATTACTTCATAAACTAGATAGTAAATTTTACTTCAAGTTACTAAGCACTAGAAAGTAATGCTGTATCATTTTACACATTATACTGTAATTGAACTGGACTTCTTAATAGTTACTGTTAAAGACTCATTGATTAATTTGATCTATACTGCATCCCCAACACTAAATACTGAAATTATGGAATTCATACAGTAAAATGAACATTTTTGACCTTGTTTACTACAGAAAATACTGAAGTGAGAAAACACAAATTGAAGCTTGACTTTTTATAGGTAATCACATTAATATTAAGGTAATTTTATCCAACACTTACATGTTGAATAGTAAAAACTTTTTTTAAAAATAGGATAATAAATGTAAACAGGGATACTATTCAAATTTTTCTCATTCATCACTATATATGTTCTAGCATCCTCAAAGTTTTGTTATAGACAGCGAATCGATTTGTCAGTATGGGGATTGTGGAGATTATTGAATTTCATTCAATTTATAGATTGATTAAAGTCAGACTTGTACACCATTGGATGCCAGCTCAGTGTCTTGAAAATAAAACATCCCCACACACTACTGAGGAATCCCGTAATGGACCAAAACAGTTTTCGAGTGCTCCTTGGTTTACAATCATGGTCTAGCTAAGATCAGCTAGTGATTTGACTACCAACTATTTCACAAGCTTCACAAACCCAAATATACTAATAATAATAATTTGTTTACCATCGACTAGCTTTAAGGTGCAATTCAAGATGAGGTGACCAGGGGAGTTCAATCCGTATCGAATGTGAAAGGTATTCACCGTATTCAACGGAATATAGTCAAGTAATATCGTGGATTGATGGAGGTCAGACATGCAAACCACTGCGTTCAGTGGCGTCTAAAGGTTAAGTGATCACCTCGAGAACTGAAGGTCCTAGATCCGATCCCCAATGAAGGGCTTGTGGATGTGCACTGAAGAGAGACATCACACTAAGAAAAAAACAACTATACGGTGCTTCTAGATTTTCAATAGTCAGATCGGTTCGTGATCTCCATAGGATTGAATTTGAACATATTGTTAACAAATGAATACCTAAAAAGCATTATGCAGTGATAACTCTTTTTCGTAAATGAACTTGAAAAAAGGATTATCAAGTCATGGATATCCCAATGAAAATAAAAGAATGTTACAATCGATCGAAATGAATGGGCTGGATGAAATATAAAACTTAAGAACGTAAATAATAATATGATCTGGAGAGCCTGATGTAACACACTAATAAAACAAGGATTTATAATCAGGGATCCTTGAGATGTATTTTTTAATAGGAAATAGTAATTCTACTGGTGAACTTTCAGAGTAAAACAAATGCAACAGGGTACAAGTCTGTAGTTCTGCGGTTTAAAGGGTCGAGTACTTAGAACACATACGAAACCGTTCAATTAAATAGATTAAAAGATTGTTGAAAATTTAAGTGACTGTTCCTTTCTTAAATACTTTGTTCTTTGTTACAAAATAAAGAGTGAATTCATCTGTGGAAAAATATAGAAATAACAATATTTACACAAATGATCATAGGCAGTAGTAAAAGCGACAACGTATTTTCGTATCATATACGCTGGAACTACGGAAATTTCTATAAAACTAATATCTTCGATCGTGAAATCAACACCAACAGCTCTTGGAATGACTTATAATAATCAGAGAATAATAGCTGAACAGAAGTTATTAAATGAAAATAAAAACAGAAACAACTAAGTGAAATGAAATTTTATAATTTACCAAATGAAACGATTTATAGTTTTCTTTGATAGGATATTATTTGCTCGCTAAATAACTATCAGCTTCTGAACTAAATAATAATTATGTAGAGTTCAAGGTCAGTGGATAAAGTACACAGCCTAACACAACAAAGCGGTATGAACATACATTTATAATAATCATTCAAGTTTCTAGAAAAGTGATCAGGTTCACTGGATGATACTAGTATACCATTTCATTCTGTTTTGTGACAATAACACAATTTGATAAGGGAATAATAAAAAAACGATTACTAGAAAACTACTTTAGTTAACATATTAATTACAATGATGGACAGATATGTGGATCCTGTTCATAACTAATTATTTATTTAGTTATGCCTAAGGACAGAGAATGGTAGTAATGCTGATTTTCTGATCAATATATTTGAACTCTTAATACTGCCACTCAAATATTAGAGCAGGCAACAAGTCAGTAAAACTGTACTTTAAAACTGGTTTATGAACAGGAATCGAGGATCGCATGTGTGGTCGAATATGTGTAGTATGAAGAACCACATATTAAAGAACCCAATTATCGTGGGGTCTAAAGCACCAAATTCGGTTTCGGTGAGTTGACAATTTTTCTATGACTGTGATGCTCAGTGTGAAACAATAGTATAATTCATCCGATATGATTAGTGAATAAATGGATAAGAGAAACCAATAAATACCTTTTATGCAATAAACCTTGATCTTTCAAATGTGGGTTATAATAATATATTTAATCTCATCACAGTCGTCAACTGAAGTCTGTCGATTAATAACTGATTAGTGATTAGTTGATATTTTTATAATGATATTCTAATACACGAAATATTTCCGTTCTAAAGTGTTCAATAGTGAATAGAATGCTATTGTCTCAAGTTGTGAAGCTGGGTGACGTAGGTTCAAATTCTATAGGTATCACCAAGTTCCTTTATAACTGTGAGTACACCTTGCTGATAAGTGTCAACTAGCATTAGACCTAAATCAAGAACCGTTTCCTGCTGAATACAATATCTGAGAAAAATTGCCGCAAAATGTAGTGGGTTGATTGAAGTTAGACATTAACACCGCTGAATGCCGGTCCAGTGGTCTAGAGGTTAAGTGTTGAAGTGCGAGAGTGAAATTCCCGGGTAAGGGATCGTGGATGCGCACTGCTGAGGAGTCCCATACTGGTGAGAAACGGCTGTCCAATACTTTCAGGCTTACAATGATGGTCTATCTTAGATGGACTCGTGAATTCAACTGTTAGAAATAAAATTTATCGCAGCACCACAAGATAAGTAGGACGTTTAGTATGTTAATTATTTCAATTAAGATGGTACTTTCAGTGTGAAACAAAACCGTTTGAATCATGAATATCAACGACAGGATTAGTAAAACTCTTACTAATCCGTGGTCAAAACATTACACCTATTATATACGTTAGTGAATAACTGGCCTCAGTAACTTCAAAGTTTGTCACAATCAATCTATCCTATAAAATACTTTTCGCGCGATTGAAAAATTAGCCATGGATACTAGTATTATACAGACGTATAATCAATAACGTAGTCTAAGTATAATGAGCTTGAGCAGAAGTGTCTGACAGCTTGTAATGATAATCAGTTCAAAGAAAAAAACTTTAAACATGTCATTCACTTAGTTTAATGCTTTAACTACCAAGTAACACTACTTAGACATTTATTTCGCTAGCAGATTAAAAAAATTGCATCACATGAATAATCATTATTGAAAGACGAGTTTTTAATACGGTGTAATCCATTTAGTGACAAACATAGAGAGAACTTCAAAGTTTGAAAATAAGGCATTAGTTATAAACCAAACGGTGTGAAAGATTACTAAACTACATGACAGAATAATAATACTTTTTGATCTGTGAACGGACCGGAAAATGTTATTCCGTTCTTTAAATCAGATCATGGTAGTTTAACTATTAACACCTTAACTGTAAAACGTTAAAAATATAGGTAAGAACGATCGGGAGCTGAGGTTAAATTCTAAAAAAAACTAAACATATCTACCAAGTACAAGAACTCAAACTTTCTTATATCTGATAAATAAAATTAGGCGATTCTGAGTAAAGAGACGAAAACAAAATGAATATTTAACAAGTGTATTGCAGTATTATTATAGTGTTACAGACAATTGACGATTCCCTGATTAAATGACAATCGAAAAATAGTTAACAAGTATGATTACAAAGTAACGATTATAATTTTTTCTCTAATAATAAAATGAATCCCTAAATAACTTCTGAAAAATTATGGCGATTCTTAAGACATGTGTAATTACATAGACTGTGGTATTATTTTGTTGAGCATAAATGTTATATCCGAGCGAAGAATGAATCACGAGTAACTTCTGAGACATGTTAATTGACTAATATTATCTATACATTCTTATGGTATAATTATTCAATAGTTAGATTATGTACATTTATATTTCTCTTATTATAAGCTTTATTTCGACCTATAATTTATAATTGTACGACTTACTGTTCTTAAGCGATGTTCAGTTTATTGACTACTGCCTCCCATGTTCACAGTCACTTTTTGGCTTTATTGTGTACAAATGTTATTTCCTATTTTATGGTGCGTTGCGGTCTGTTTGGTTGATATATAAACCCAGTATGTCTGAAATAAATGATTCGATTCGATTCGCATATTGGAAGCTGGTATTGGTATTCTGGACTCAAGTGGACGGGCTAGGCGTGCATAGGACCAATAAGGACGCTAGGCTGCCCATACCGGTCGAACGTCATTGGTTTGGCACAATGCGAAGATTGTATAAGTCGTATTTTGATTGGTGGACAAATCACGTGATAAAAAGCCGGACATAAGGTTACAACAATAAACTTTTTGTCATCTGTTAAATTATCAGTTGCAGTGGATAAAAATATACAATTTGGTTTATACTGTGACCACGTGACTACGGATGTACAGCCACTGTCAGGGAAGTTCTACTCACTGCCTTCCGGCGGCGGGGGTGTTTGTTTACGAAATTAAGAGGTCGAAAAACGAATGCCCGACGGTTTAACCGGGAAATATGACTGATTACAGCGATAGGCTGAGAAAATAAACTTAAACATTACTTTGACCACAATGGTTGCAACTAAGACTAACAATTTACAATATATTAGGTATGAAAATGCTGACAAAAATAAAGTCATATTATATAATCAAAGTCATTTCATATTTTTACTTACCTCCAAGAGATGTTGGTGCCAGTAAACAAGTCTCTGATTCTTGATTACCAGTTGTTAAACAAACAGTTAATAAACTATGCCCATTCTACAAAACAAAATTTCAATTTGTAATTTATGAGTAATAAAACAATATCATGTTTTAAATAAAAAAATCTTATGCAGTCAATCAGCTATAACGTAGGTCCATGCACATATATGCATCAGTCCAAGTTGCCACACCTCATCAGCACAACAATATGATCACCAAACTCACAGAAGTGTTTACTTCAATTGTAGTAATATATAAAAGAAGCATTGTATATAAGGATATAATGCATGAAGAAAGAATTAGTTCACAGAAAGGTATAAAGTAATTTTAATCTCACAGTTTAAGAGAAGACAAAGAGTGTATGCACCTACGCCATTGTGATCGATTCTGGGATATGTCACCCAGAATCTCCAACCATTGATTACGATAGTCACGCGAATCCCAACCAAGTAGTCTACATCTACCAACAAGGCTCAGACCAGAAGTTAATGCCATGTTTTAGTTTGGCCGCCCCTAACTTTCTCCCAACAGTCTCCAACACTAGTGAGCGTTGCGTGCGAATTTATGCATAAAACAAATAAAAATTATTGATGATTTCTTTTTTTTCTATTTCATAGAGATTCTTGTCGAAATTGAAAAGAAAAAACAATCGTGAGTTATTGAATATCTCACCTTCAAATGAACAGATGTAAAAGCAATTATTATTCGTGTAGCGAACCAAGTAACCACATAACAAATTATTATTGTGAATAGAAGTAAACAAGACCAGGAAACATAAGATAAAAGATAAAAATTTACAGGATAATAAGTTATTCAAGAGTTAGGCAAAGATGAATGCATTTGCACTACGGAGATCAATCGATCTACAGGTAGCACTTGAAATCTCTTCCACTACTTAACCATAACTTACTTGTGGAATGAATTTAGAGGGAATATACATATATTCCTGTAAACTATAAACTACCAAGTAATGATCAAATGAATTAATGATGCGTTTTGATCTGGCTATCTCGTCTCGGCGAGACTTTAATTTATGGACGAGCCCATCAGAAGCGTTTGAGGAATTTCAAGGTCACGGAGCCAAGTTCAACACCTGATGCTCACATACGATCGATTTACAGCGGATTTTAGAGAATAGATGATTATTGAGCGGCTACAAGAGATGAGACTACTAAGAAGTTCCTGTACCTGTGAATGCGGTTATCAAATGACTGCAGTACAGTGTGCAGACTATCGTGATGAGATCGTATTTCGTTGCTCTTTATGTTGGAGAAAAAAGTCTGCTCGAACGAGGACTTTCCTTGCTCGATCGCGACTGAGACTGAGGCAAATCATGATAATAGTTGCAAATAGGATAATAAAGGCACCAGTAACACTAGCTGTGGCGTTTGCAGATGTTACTGAAACTTCAGTCGTCCAGTAGTATGAGCATTTTCGTGATATATGTGCACTTAAAATGACACGTCTACACCAATCATTCGGAGTAGAAAGTATTGTGGAAATAGATAAAACAGTAGTGGGAAAGCGAAAATACAACAGGGGACGTAGTATCAAGGAAGATTGGGTAAGTAGCACTTCCGTAAATATACTTGACAGGTACGTGGAATTTATGATCGATCAACGCAAAAGGGGCATTTTCAGAGGGTCAGAGACCCGCAAGCAAGTACAATAATACCAATTATACAAGAATACGTGCAGCCGGGCACTACGGATGATTGGAGAGCGTATAGATGCCTTCATAGACTTGGGTATGTCCATCATGTCGTAGTGCATAAACGTCATTTTGTCGACCCTACTACTGGAGTTCATACTAACAACATTGAAGCCACGTGGTCGAGATTGAAGGAATTTTTAAGACCGTACCATGGCTCTTGAGGATGACTATTATGGAGCCATATGTACGAGTTCCTATATCGTATGCATTATGATTTCAGAACATCTGGACCTTTATCAAACCTTAATAAGTTTTTAAATCACGTAAAAAAAAAGAATATCCACTGTAATTCATTAGTTTCTTATATTTTTACTTTGTACTGTCTTCTCATTGACTAATAGTTGTCAAGGTCACTTAAGATTCGTTCAAGGTTCGTCCATAAATTAGTCTCGCCTTCGCCTCTTTTACAAATCCGATCATTTAGTCAGCATTCACAACTTCGTTAACAAACGGAGTTCGTTTGCTGAATAATATACTCATTGATAAATGAAGCGCTAACGACAGAAAATAAAACATTAATAAACAAACGGAACGAGTTTTAGAAAAGTCGTAACTTCCGAAAATACGTTTCGATTATTATTTATATTTTTACTGTACATCTAGTAGTAAACTATGCATATCAGAACGGATAATTGTTGAAGTTTAAGACGTTAGGCAAGAGATAGGACAGTGGATTTGGAACCGAAAAAGTGTACTTAGGATCCTGACCGGTGGAATCGTCACGTGATATCGATTAGAGTTCCAAGACAAACAGTCACTACTTTTATCATTTTCAGCTATAGTGAAAAATGTTTACAGTCATAAAGTAACACAGAATGATACAATAATTACTTTTCCAATATGTTATTTGTGACATCTCGTCTAAGTTACAGATGATGTATGTTATGAAGAGTCAATTGTGATATTACTGTATTTGCAATAACATTTTATCAGTCAACAAACGACTGTAATTCCAGATGTTACCTAAATTATTAACGATTAAATCCATTGGACTGCTAAAACTACTGAAATAAGGACAAATATAGGAATTAAACTTCCAATTGAATGCTTGAATCGATTTCCTAAGCTCTTTTAATAAACCCAGGCTAATTCTGCAAGATAACGCGAACGCCAGAGAAAAGGCGTGAAATGTGAGAAGAATGCTTTACTCGAAGGTTAATTTATGTACAGCAAAATCGAGGCTCTTTATAGTGTTTCAGTTTCAGATGGTCTTGGGTTTCTGAAACCGTACTGAACATAGTAGCACAGTGAGTAATCATCCAATTAGAAATGCAATATATAACTTCACTTATTAGATGTTTCTGAGAAACTTCCATTCAATACTGATTAGATAAAACGTTTACCAACGGACTTTTTTAAGAATACCTTGGATCCCCCAACACCTTTCTTTCACAATATAAGACTTCGTCTTTGGGTCTACTTGTCATATCAAATTTGTACAAAAAAAGTCTAAGTGGCCTCTGATTCATTCTTAGTGACCAAATCATAGAGCCGTCTCGTTGTACTGTGGGACTCTTCTATAGGTCTGACGTAGTTACCATCGAAGATGGTCGTAAAAATTGATTGAAGTCAGACATCCAGTGGTCCGAAGGTTATGAGCTATCCGCAAGACCTGAAGGTCACGGTTTCGATTTCAAATGGTGGGACCGCGGATGCGCATTGTGACTAGGACAAAACAGCTGTTCAGTGCTACCTGGTTTTTAGTAGATTTTTAACTTGAACAGATCGTGATCTCAATAATAATCATAAATACTACAATTCAAACAACTAACTAGATTTCCTACTAATAGGTCCATAGAAAAATGCCAACGAAGAAATAATGAAGTTCATCAAGAGATAAGTCTACATTACCACCAACCAAAATAGAGTACGTCATTTTGACCGTGAATCGACTAGTTAATGTCGTCGCTTTTTAAGCACATGTGACGTGTTTTGATTTTTTTTTCTCCAGTCCAAAAATGTGTTTCGTATCATCAGTCAGTTAACTACAGAATCATTTAGTTGTTTTCTATGTCCAACAACAACAACAACATAGTCTGTAGTTTATTTCCCTCGAAGATAAAAAATAACGAGATAAACAATAATGTTACAAGACATAATATATACGAATTGGTAACAACGAAAGACTAGTGTATTTCTACAAAATAACAAATAGTTTACTTAGTTACTTTACCATAGAATAAAAAACTGATACTACACTACAATTATTAATTGTAGACAGATATCATGTGTACATCTGGACATGCATGGTATGCATGGTATAGACGTAAACATGTGTGTTATCATCTCTAATAGCATGGAAACCAATAAAAGCATTAAAAAACAGTAGATGGGCATATACTATATATATATATATATATATATATATATATATATATATATATATATATATATATATATATATCGACCGAAAATTGTCCAATCCTAAAGCTTAATATATTCTACAGATGTTCCTTCAACGTATACACTTAATTTATAACCATAAGCTTAGATGATATGCAACACTTTCTAAAAAAAATCGAAAATGAAGTCTACAATAATCACATGAATATCAGAAAATATACTAAGTGACGTATAAACTAGTACTGAGGTTCAGTTGTTTGCTTATGAAATGAATCAATTTTTCAGCGACTATTGAATCATTAAAAAAAAAAGTAGTCTCATTAACTGAAACAGTTAATTGGATATAATATTCACCATGTAAAATAAATCAAATCATTAAGGAAAAAATCAATAAATGAAACGATAATGATTTCCATCATAAATGCTCTCTATCTTCAGTGAAAGAGACAATGAAATCACTGTCATTTTGTTAAACACAATCGAAAAAAGTTATGAGAAACAGACCAGAATTTTTAAATAGACTGGTAACAATTAACAAGTGAGAATAAAGTGTAGAATTTTATGTACAAATGATAACTTGAATTCATGAATATATTTCTTCAGTTAGTTGGCTAGTAAATCAATCGTATGATGTTTATTTGATAAACATTCAAAGATTGGTTTTGAGTAAATTATCAGTTGGATTAACTTAAAGTCACTCTCTCGTATTGTATTAGTCAATTTTACCGTTCAAAAAGTTTCCAGTCACTATCATATGCAATGAAGAACCAAACCCAAATGTACTTTAGCCTGAATTCCTAAACGATTTTAGCACAGTGAGATGAAATTAAATAGATGAATTTAAAAAAAAGTCGAATAGAAGTAATATCAATGAAAGAGAGTCAGAAATAGAATATGTTGTTTGAAAACAACGAATAAGTTCGGGAACTAAAATGTACTGAGCAAAATAAAAAAATAGGATTCACAGATGGACAATGAATTTGTGCCATTTAGTCCGATTTCAAGTCGAATTACGCAACATTTTTATAAAGTAGGATACACTGGCAGATTATAGAGGACGCAGATATAGTGTGTCTGGTAAAACAAATTACTAGAAGAATTTTATGTTCAATTCTTAGAAGCTAGCAATATATATATATATATATATATATATATATATATATATATATATATATATTAAAGTTAGTAATCAAACTAAAGGTTCATGTACCCGACTCTGAATCACAAGTACTGTGTTAGGGCTTATAACACCATCTATCTGCCACATGAATTAAGTGGTACAGAAATGGAACTTAGAATCCAATAGTCAAGTATTTTTAAATATGGAAAGCCATCGCTGCAAGAAGGCAGTGGGTAGGATTTCCACAACCACTGAAAGAGAAATCCTACTCACCGCCTTCTCGCACTGAGGGTTTTGTTTACGAAATTAAGAGGACGAAAAGCGAATGTCCAGCGCTTTAACCGGGTTGGTGGAAACGCAGGGTCCACCTCAAGGAGTTGGAAAACTTTGATTTCAAACCAATGGTGCATACGGGCTCTAGGATTCTGAAGGAACAAATAGCGCATGAACCTATTGTTGGTCATTAGCTGCCATGGGACTGCATCTGTACACGTTGCTCCACTGTCTTTTGGATTAGACCTCTAGAAGTGACCGCCTAAGAAAACCATCTGCTTCGGTTTCGGCATACGGGCAGTATTCAAGACCTCACACAAATCGATATATATATAGTGCCTCCTTCTAACAATGTTTATGTTTAAATAAATAATAAATGAACATCGGTTTTACATACAAGTCAAAATATGGGAAATTGCAAGCTAAGCCTATATTTTTAAAACAAACGTCAACCATATTACATGTATCAGAGTTAAGTTATAATATATTCAATGCTTTATTTGTACAATATGAAATAGTCTATGAAAAGTGTTATCTTGTAAATGATACTGATGAACAATCATTCAAAACCTGGAAGTTACGAGTAAGCGAAATTGAAAATGTTGATAAAAGTACGATGACAAAAAAGGAAAAGGAATCAAGTGAAAACATATTTTAACAGATGTATTGGTTCAGCAAAACATTTAGACCTATAAATTCACTCATCTTTCTCATTCTATATAAAGTTTCATAACAATTGATATTTGTGACAAAAACAATTACTTTATTGTCAGTAGTATAGAGTTGTGGAGATTATTGAATTTCATTGAAATCACGAGCCGATCAAAGTTCGACAACCTGAGGAATCCCACACTAAGATAAAACATCCTTCCAGTGCCTCTAGGTTTTTAATGGTTGTCTAACTTTGATCGGTTCGTGATTTCAATGAAATTACTTTATTATTTTTCAGCTAAATGAGCTTAGATAAGGTAATGACAAATAAGAAAACATAAAAAAAGTGGAAAATTAAGATAGGATACTAACATACCATAGTAAATGTGTGCATTTTATCAAATCAATCTCTTTCTCAATAAGTATATATTCAAGTCAAGTCAAATAAATGGTCTAAATAATCCGATAATGTACATAGTTTACATTTACACAATATTTAAGAAAATAAAGTTGATGTTAAATAAAAAGAAGTTTTATTGCTACATACTACATTGATTTGACCAAGATGTTGATGATACCGGTAGTCGATTTATAGCATTATAATGAAAATTAAGTAATGAAACGAATTACTCTTAAATGGGGATTTAAGGAAACAATTAACGAATTTTAACAATCACATTGATCTTTTTGTAAGAAACATGATCGAACCCAAACATAATCGTGCCTATAAATATGTACAGCAAAATGAATAAATTTAAGAGAAAGCTATAATATTGTTTTCATCAGAAAAAAAAATATTAATTGTAAATGAGGATTGATTTAGAAATCATCATTAAATATAGCTGGTCAAAATCAAGTTACAATGTACAATAAGTGAACTTGACGACGAATTGAATATCTTATGCAATATACTGAAAATTCTTTTCGAAATAACCTGAATTTATGAAAGAAGTTCAATTTAATTTAATTAACAAGGTTTATTCCATAAAGAACTACTACTACTACCATACTTCAATCAATACATCGAATGATAGCGATTTTAGCAAAGTAACAAGAATCTTACTTCTCACCTGAGATATGTTACTCATTTCATTTTCTTCATTACTCAAAGGTAAATCATTTATATCGACCGAAATCTGATAAATATAGAAAAAAGAAACACGTCAATTCAAAATTCGTCATCTATATGTCGTTTGTAAATAATATAAGCTTACAGGGAAGAAAGAAACTGATGTTAATGTTATTTAAAAAAAAACCTAACTCTCATAAGCACACACTAATGGTCATCTCCATCAATTAACAAAAAGTGAAAGATGGTTACCAAGTTGGAGTGACTTTACTATTTATTTATTTAAACACATAAACATTGGTACAAGGAGGCACCAAATACATATGCGCGAGATAAATCATTCAACTTTTTGAGGGCTGGATTACAGCGCGGGTGCCGAAACTGAACCATGTGGTTTTCTTAGGGGTCACACCCGGAGCCTTTAACCGAGAGGTCTAATCCAAAAGGCAGTGGAGCAACGTAAGCAGATGCAGTCCCATGGTAGCCGGTCACCAACGATTGGTTCATACGCCATTATTTCCTTCAGGATACTGGAGCCCATGTGCACCATCGGTTTGGAAGCAGGGTTTGTCAACTCTCCTAGATGAACTCTCAGTGTCCACCAGCCCGGTTAAAGCGCCGGACATCGCTTTCCGTCCTCTCAATTTCTTAAACAACAGCAACGTCGCGAGAAGGCAGTGAGTAGGACTTCCCCGGCAGTTGTTGTATGCACGTGGCCATGTGAGAACATTTCGAGAGGGAGAGCTGACTCTTCCAACTCTCGGCCGTACCAAGGCATTTGGGGGCAGTGGCTTTACTAAATTGAACTAAATTAATCTAGTCAACTTGTCAATCACTAACACTAACGATATGGAGTAGACGTATATCGGCTAACGTATCATACTCTACATTGGTTTAAGGAGGAGACATTAAAGACATGGAAACCAAAGGAGTTGGAGAGATAATAAACAGGATACATGTTGTTTCCAATGTCTGCTGACTAGAATTATGTGACAAGCCACTAATCAGAATTGATTCCACTTTGATCTATTTCGCGTCTACCATTTACGATCGCTTAATTTCTCTGACTTGGGCAATTACACGTTCGACCAGCAACATTAATCTTGACTCAGCAGCCAAGTTCTCATTGGACCACTATTTGCAAGCTTCTCTCTATGCCCTGCCTTTAAGTCCGAAAGTCAGTAACAAGCCTCTACTACATTTGTGCTTCAAATAGACATGGTTTATATACAGACATAACGCACCACACCACATCGTGAAATAAAGAACATAATTATACAAAAGTGGCTGTGAATATGGAAAGCTGTGAGTAATAGACTGGTCAGATATTAAGAATAGTAAATCGAATGATAATAGTTTATGGGTTAGCCAAAAGCTTATGATAAACGTAATACATAAACATAATTTAGTTGTTTAATGTTCATACAATGTACCATGTCACTCATTGAATCGGTATTCCACTCACTTGTTCTTGTAGTGGTTGGTTCTGGGTCCTGGTTTCAAATTGAATATGTTGAAAAGTGTTGCGCAAGTGAAAACGCAGCTAAATCCCCTAGGAAGACACAAATATGCAGTTAGGGAACACTGACATACTCACGGTCTACGGTGCACATGGATTCTCCTAGTTCTATAAATGGAAAAGTTTATGCCAACTGTTGGCGCCTTTTCTAAATGTTCAGAAGTTCGTTGCATGAAGTCTACATCAGCTAAAGCTACTGTGGACAAGTTACAACAAGTATTCACCTGTTTCGAGTCTTCAGAAGTATTAGTATCTGATAATGGAACTTAGTCTACTTCGGAATCTTTAAAATTTTTTATTGACAATGCCGTTAAAAATATCAAGACATTTCCTACCATCCACAGTCAAACTGACAATTTAAGAGATTTGTCGACATTAAAAAAACTACCTAAAGCCGAGGGAGAAGGAGAGGTGGAGGATGTAATCCAAAAATTCTTATTAATCTACCGTGCAACGCCAAACCCATCAACAGTAAACCAAGTAAGCCCAACGAATTAGGATACCAATGGAATAGATTCAACCAGGACCAAGAATCAGTCACTACAAGAACAAACGAATGAAGTGCCTATTCAAGATACAACAGAACAGTTAACTAAACACAGTCCAAAAGAGACTAATTAAATAAGAAAATGAAAAGTACGAGCGATAGTACTGGTTCGAGATTTGGAGGAAGATGATAAAAAAATGCATTTGGGACTCTGTGATCGGTTTGAACCATTTCAATTATGGTCACAAACCATATGGGATTTCACAGATTCAAAAGGAAGTAAACCAAATCTATCATTCTGAAAGGAATACTAGAGAATGCGAAAACAGAGGAACGAATCGGTGAAATAAATGATCATTATTTGTCATGACTGACTTTTAGAGCTTGATCACATACTAAGGACAAGGAATTATATTGACTACTGAATTAAATATAGAGACAAAACTGTTTAGCGTATTTACCTTGTATATTTGTAAGTAAACGACTGGGTGCCCAAATTTAAAATCGTTTGTTTAGTTTGTATTCAGCAAAAAGTTGCACTAGTTATATAACGTTCCTTATGTTTCTCTGAAAGTCGTAATTCTTAATTTTCTAATTAGAGATGTAACCACTGAGATGAATCTAATCATCGTTTGGTTGTTGGATAGTAAGTCATTTCATTTGTCACCCCATTAAACCTATCAAACAGACAAAAACTAAGTATGATCCTTGCCTGCGTCTTACAGGACGTAGGAAAGACGCTGCAAGGAAACCTCTTAGGGTCCTATTTAATGATAGTCAAGCTAGGAGTATATTTCAGGAACTAGGAAAACAGTAAGGCAGCCATGTAGGTGATGCCCACCCCGATGCAGCATGGAATGATATCCGAAAAGCTGTGGAAACAGCAGTGATATCTGCTATTACGGTATACCACAAGGTTAGGGAGCAACACTGGATCTCAGCAGTATCTACCGCACTGATAGATGCGCGAAAACTCATTCCATCTGGATCTGAACATAACGAAGAGCGGAGTCAGCTTAAGCGCAAGCTGACAAGAAGCCTACGCAATGATCGTGAACAGTGGTGAGTAGCGAAAGCAAGAGAGATGGAAAACGCAGCGGCAATAGGTAATAGCAGACAATTGTTCAGACTCGTTACGGAAACCGGTATTAGGAACCCAACTGTTTAGGAAAATATCTCGGAAAAGATGGATACATCGTTCATTCTCAATCCAGGAGATCGGATCAATGGGCAGAACACTTCAGGTATCAGTTCAACTGGCCTTCAGTCACACTTCGGTTTCCCATGATCTCCAGTCAACCTGAATGGCAAGTTAATGTAGGTCCTCCGACTCTACGAAGTTGAAAAAGCTATAGGAAATCTGAAGCAAGTGAGAGCAGCAGGCCCTGACAGGTTCACTCCTGAGATTTTTAAGGATGATGGTCCAGTATTAGCAATGAGATTAACTGAGGTCTTAGGTAGAATTTGAGAACTGGACGCAATCCCATCTGACTGGTCTCAATCACTGATTGTGCCAGTCTATAAGAAAGGAAAAAAAGTCCTCTTGTGACAATCACAGAGGAATCAGTTTGACTAATATAGTGTCTAAAATATTAGCTTCAATAATACTTTGACGCCTAATCAAAGCTCGTGAAGAGCAGACTAGAGAAAATCAGGCCGGTTTTCGACTTGGACGTGGTTGTATAGACCAGATATTCACACTACGTCAGATTCTAGAACACAGGCACACGTTCAGACGCTCCACAATCGTAGTATTTCTCGACCTTAAGGCGGCATTCGACTCTGTTGATCGTGAGGTTCTATGGTAGTGTTTGTCACTGAAAGGAGTACCAAAGAAGTACATTAACCTTATAAAGGCTCTCTACTCGAACACAACTGGTAGAGTGAGAGCTTATGGCGAACTGTCATCAGAATTGATTACCTCAAGTGGTGTTCGTCAGGGTTGCCCACTCTCTCCATTCTTGTTCAACTTTGTCGTCGACGTACTTTTAGAGATAACACTTTCCTCATCTAGATTTCCAGGGGTTGAACTTCTACCAGGAGATTCACTTGTTGACTTGGAATATGCCGATGACATAGTTCTATTTGGTGAAGATGCTGACAAAATGCAAAGTCTTCTGACCGCTCTAAGCAACAATGCAAGTATGTTCGGGATGCGATTCTCCCCCTCGAAATGTAAAATGTTGCTTCAGGATTGGGTTGCATCGACACCCGAACTAATGATAGGGATTGGAGTAGTTGAGCATGTCGACCGCTTCACTTATCTTGGAAGTCTCATCAGCTCTTGTGGTCTGGTGTGTGACGAAATCTCAGCACGGATACAGAAGGCTCGATTAGTTTTTGCCAACTTGCGTCATTTATAGCGTAGGCGAGATATCCGTCTATCAACCAAAGGACGGGTTTACTGCGCAGCAGTTCGTTCCGTCCTACTTTATGGCAGTGAAACATGGCCGGTAAGAGTAGAGGATATTCGTAGGTTACTAGCATTTGATCATAGGTGTCTTCGAAATATTGCTCGTATATCGTGGGACCATCGAGTAAGTAACGCAGTTGTTAGGAAACGGGTACTAGTTACCTGGCAAATCAATTGATGACGTAGTGAAACTTCATCAGTTGAGATGGCTGGGACACGTGTTACGTATGCCCAACCACCGACTGCCCCGACGTGCAATGTTTTCTGGTGTCAGTCAGTCAGTCAACCACATATATGCATCGGTCCAGGTTGCCATACCTCATTAGCACAGCAACATGAACACCGGATTCATAGGAGTGGTTAGGTTAAAGGTGATAATATATAAGAGAAAGATTGCATATAAGGATACAATACAGGAAGAAATAATTAGTTAGTAGAAAGAAAGATGTGAAGAGATTTTAATCTCTTAGTTTAAGGGAAGACAGACAGTTTATACACCGACGCCATTGTGATCGATTCTGAGCCACGTCACCAAGAGTCTCTAACAAATGATTACGATAGTCACACGGACAACAATCAAGTAGTCTGCATCTACCAACATGGCTAACACTACAAGTTACTGACTTCAAGCACTGATGCCACGTTTTGGTTTGGCCGCCCCTAACTTTCTTCCAACCATCTCCAATACCGGATAGCATTGCACGTCGTGGTAATCGGTGTTCAGGCATACGTAACACGTGGCCCAACCATCTCAGTCGATGAAGATTCATAACCTCATCAACTGATTTACCATCATTCCCTAATACCCTGCGTCTAACCTCACTATTACTTACCCGGTGATCCCAGCAGATGCCAGCAATATTTCTAAGGCATCTGTGGTCAAATACTAGTAGCTTACGGGTGTCTTCTACTCTTAAAGGCCATGTTTCGCTGCCGTAAATTAAAACAGAACGCACTGCCGCGCAGTATACTCGTCCTTTTATTGATAGACGGATATCTCGCCTTCGCCAAAGGTGACGTAAGTTGGCAAAAGCCAAACGAGCTTTTCGAATCCGTGCTGAGATTTCGTCCGATACCAGCCCATTAGGGCTGATCAGACTTCCAAGATAAGTGAAGTTGTCAACGCGTTCGACTACTTCACTCCCTATCCTTAGTTCAGGTGTTGACGCAGACCAGTCTTGAAGCAACAACTTGCATTTAGAGGGAGAGAAGCGCATTCCAAACATCCTGGCATTGTTGCTCAGTGCTACCAAAAGACTCTGCATTTCATCAGCGTCTTCACCAAACAGGACTATGTCATCTGTGTATTCTAAGTCGATAAGTGGACCTCCTGGAAGTAGGTCAATACCCGAGAATTCAGTAGACGAGAATGTTATTTCCATCAGTAGGTCTATGATGAAGTTAAACGAAAATGGAGATAATGGACAGCCTTGACGGACACCACTTGAGGTTGCAAAAGTAGATGACAGTTAGCCATAAGCTCTGACTCGACTAGTAGTGTTCGAGTAAAGAGCCTTCACAAGGTTTATGTACTTCTGAGGTACGCCTTTCAATGAGACACTACCACAGAATCTCGCGGTCTACAGAGTCAAATGCTGCTTTTAAGTCGAGAAAGACCACCATTGTCGGACGTCGATAAGTATGCCTGTGTTCTAGAACCTGACGAATGGTGAATATGTGTTCGATGCAGCCACGACCAGGTCTGAAGCCAGCTTGATTTTCTCGTGTTTGCAGTTCACGAGTCTTAGTTAGGCGTCTGATAATTATCGAGGCTAGTATTTTAGACACTATATTAGTTAAACTAATCCCTCTGTGGTTGTCACAGGATGATTTTGACCCTTTCTTACAGAGTGGAACCAACATCAGTAAACTCTGTCTAACCAAAAACATGAATAATTTGTTTATATTTATTATTTCTTGAACTAGATATGTGCTCAGAAGTAACTACTACGCAAAGTTTAAAACCAAATTAACAGTTACCGCTTGTAATCATCTAAAAATTTCGAGCTTCGCTATAAACGGAAACTTGTTCAAAGAAATAGATATCTATGACGGTTACTGAGAACCGAAAATGGAATTTCATAAGTTAATCACCTACCATTCTAAGAGAACTGATTTCATGTTAGGGCCATTCTTGGTTGGAGCTACAATAGTATGTTTCACTATCAATATAGGGGCTTAGGTGCTTAACAGAACAGTATACAAAAACTGTCATACAATCATTGGATCGCGAGTAATAAAACCATTCCAATACAATCGTGTCCCATAGAGAGTGTATATCCCATGGTCACAGAGGCAAGGATTTTTATCGGTATTGAAATGAAAATAAATGAACCTCACCAATTAAACATAAATCCACTAGCACATACACTGTGTTTTGGCAAATGATAAAATACAAAAGTCCAGCTGAAGAGAATAACATACATGTAGATTATCTCTAGTCCGAACTAATACATCTTAACATCCAATTCAACGCTAATCTAACTTACGCTGACAAAAAGCCTCTACTGTGGAACTTAGCTCAAACTAACACTAATATACAACATCAAGTAATGGTCTCGTGTCATGAAATGACTATTCTGTGGCGTCTACCATACAACCATTGGGCATATTTAACATATGACCTAACCATATATACAAGTTCACTAGACAAGTGGTTTCAACTGACTTATTTCTCACAATCAGAACCCTACTGCTAAAGCAAATGTTGCTCCCGGAAAAGTGGTAGCACACATAAGCAATGCTGAAAATTTATCTCAGTTAACTATATCCAGTCCCATTTAAAATTTTATTTATAGCAACCATATTTTACAAATTGCCCTACCACACCATAGAAGGTATTTAGGTGAATACTTAAGCAACAGTGGGTTATTTGGGAAAAAGGTCATTGACATTTTACGATTATGTAGGAAAATAAATGTGGGATATACAATACCTTAAAAGATAAGGTATTTCACAAGACTTACTCGTATATCTTGTGTACTATAATATCGTAATGAATTCAGAGTGTCTGAAACTGAGCCACGTTCCTCGGCTTTAGTTTCTGAATTCAAATCATCGCTATCATCATTGTCATCTGAAGCGAGGCTATACTGAGCTGATGTACCACATTTTGAACGAATTCCATTTAGCAAATTTTTTTGAGCCAAAAACTGAAATTGACTACCTGCTCGTTTACGCTGTGATCCATTAGAGTTCCCGACAGCATGACTGCTGCCATTCCCGTCACTTTCTTCATCGTCCGAACAAACATTATCTTCACTTCCCGCCCTTGCCAGTCTTTCGCCTGTTAATAACTTTTCAAATGCCCATCGCAAAACTCCAACGGCTAAATATTCGTTGGAAGGTTCTTGAATTCCATTTTGATCATCTGATGAATCGAAATTGCCTGTAAGGTTTACTATCAAACGAGCACTAAGAATTCCTGTTTGAGAACAAGCGATGGCATCTGCTTCCGTTAACAAGTAGTGGTGTAATGTTTTTGTTAAGCACATTTCTGGCGAATAAGATGTGAGACTTGTAGCAAATTCATTACTATTTTGATAAACCCCACTGAACTGAATAAAGCTACACAGAACTGTACAAGAAACAGTAGGATGTAAGACGCAATATTAAAAACAAGCTATGTTAATCAGATATTCTTAAGAGGTTTACTTCAGATTCGTATGTTCTTATGCTGACTTCAGAAAAGCTATTGCAAAACTTTTGAAATCCCCATGAGTTCCTTTCTGGACAAAGTAGGTACTTTGTGTTCCACATATGACACACTGATGAACTCGTTTTGTAATAGCGTACAGATAAATTAAATACCCGTCGTTGACTAAATGCGTCTACTGATTTGCTAATAGTAAGTTGACTCATCCACTAGGTACTTGGGTATGAGCCACACATTAAGTGCGAGGGCTAATGATACTAACCAGTTGCCTAGACCGAAGTAGGTGAAGGGGAGCTCAAACCTGCAGCCTAGTGGGTGAAAGTCGAATGCCTTAACAGTAAGCTACCGCTAAAATAGAGAGAGCAATTGAGATTTCGGTAGCTCACAGAATGGTGTGCGAACTTTCCACACATTATGTAACTACATTATGCAGGACATGATAATCGCCAATATGTTATTCCTCGATTACAGTGATGCCTAAATACATAAGTGACATATTTTGTTTTTCAATTGCTATTCAATGCATGCACAAACAAAAAACGACTTAAATGACTTATTTCATGTTGTCAATAGTTGTAAAAATCTGATTTGACAAATCAGTCTTTAAAACAGAGTGCTTAAGGTGTTGAGATTATATTAATAGCCACTACTTAAATGCCAACATTTGGAAAGTTTTCTGGTGATTTACGTCAAGCCCTCAAATAAAAACTTTCTTCTACTCTGTAAAACAAGAGGAAAAACGACATGAGGTTGACCTAGCAAACTCCGAGTATGTTTTTTAATAATTTTGAAGATCTGGTAGGTATGTCCATGGTGGCATATACCTAGATGCGTTTTATTATAGTTAATAACAGAAAAATTAAGTAATAGAACTTTACTAAAAGAAAATACACATGCTGCGAAGAATCTACAAAGACGACAACCCGAATGCTGAAGACTAGTGTGGAATATTATACTGGTGAAATAGCATGTAGTGTACGGGAGTACTAATCGTTTCGGTGCACCGAATAAACAATGAGACTCCACATATTTTGAGCCCATGTTCTAATAAGTTACTAATTCATCAACATATTTACTTTTTCATCATATTTAGTTACACAAAATTCTAAAATCCCACATGTGCTGGCTTTATTCGACTGCTGATAGCTAGGATTGTTTTTTACCAGTTCCTAATTTTATAGTGATGTTCAGGGTAATGTTTACATAGAATATCATCTTATGTCTGTATGAGTCCCAATCAAAATCAAGAGATAAAGTCACTGGTTGTTGTTCAGAGCGAAGTTGGAAGGTTCAGAAGTTTTCAATGGAGTTCTGCAGACAATTATGACCTTTAACTGGAAACCTTAGTTGATAAGGTTTACAACTGTCACAGATGTTTTCATTTCCTTTTTTCCTTCCAAATCTTGATTCTTCATATCATTGTATGTTTTATTACCCAATCTCACCTGTTCTTAGGGAACAATATTCTGTATGTTCAGACATGCATTACCATTTATATTACTACTATTTCGATTTGTCCACTTTTTATCTTATCAACTTTTTCGCTTTATATTGATGTGAAGTTTCGAGTGTTGAGAAATTGACAATTTATGCCAGATCCTACGTTGTGTAAATGACAACTAGAACCAACACTATGAAAAACATCTTTCAACACAATATTAAGTTTATGTAAATTTAAACTGTAAATAGTATATAAAGTCATGGATTCTCTTAAATAACCATTGTAATATTGCTTAACCACAAGAAGTCAATTATATCCAGAGTATAATAAATGAAACGGATCTGGAATTAAAGTAGAGCCGAACAAGAAAATCTAACATTTTTAAAGAATATTAGTTAGAAAAAAAACTTCAGCAACTCGTGAATTTTTTAAAATCTTACCCCCAACACTGTTGATTGATAAATTGTGAATTAAAAACTCGATGCACGTTGTCTCCAAAGTTTTGATCTGTAGACATTTTGACAGATGGTAAACGTGTGGTATTAGGTCTTCGGGCACAGTAAGCCTGGTATAAGTGGAAAAGTTTTTAATTAGGAAGCTACGATGACAGACGGAGTAGATAAATCAATGTTGATAGACCAGAAAGTACTAACTACCACTAGTTGATATGGTTACTACATATGAAACTAAGTACTTTACCACATTGTCGGGATAAACCGAATCACTGTCTAATAAAAAAGGTGTAGTATATTGAAACCTACTTACTAAAAATGTGCTTTGTTGAATAATATAGAAATATGAATATTTGCTAAAAGAAGCTACCTTGAAATATGGATTTACTAAATTTCTAATGGGATGTGAATGAATCAGCATCAGTCTAGGTCCTATTACTGTAATGGTTCAAACAATTAATTCTTTCACAGCACAACAAATACCTGAACGAAAAAAGCATTACTATAGGATAATATTTAAAACATAAGGTTTAAATAATCCACTCACTATTTTGACCATAGGATTTAGTGGTACAGAAAGGAGCATGGGACTATGAGAATCCTACAAAAAATTTTATCGGTGACATGAAAAAACGTACTACGAACGGTGTACTGCTATAGAGTACGAAAAGTGCATTTTATGCGTAAAAGGTTTTATTTGGTACCTAATTGCTAAAAAACCAGTACTCCCTAGCTAACGTACCCGATTTTTTTAGCACCAGATCACGAAGCGTAACCTCTCCGACGACTTTTAAAATTCGGGAAACTCGACAGTCTAATCGCTTTCGCTAATAGGCAACGTTCATTAATTAGTGTATGCGCAAGAATGTGGTTTAGATGTTCTTGTTCTCATCTTAACAAAAGTTCGGTTAAATCATCTAAATACCATCACTTAGGGAAATTGGATACTTTAAACTGCAGAAAGGTGCTGCTGTGGATAATAACAGGAAATTCACAAACTTCCCGTTGTTCACTAATATACAACATATAAGGGATGAAATAAAACCAAATTCCCTAACCATTTTAATGTTACATAAATGTGCTAAACCTTTGTGCGTGGTGAAAACACTAGGTAAAATACATTTAAAATTCCGAAAATTTCAAAGAATGCTGAACATATTCAGGATTTGAGTTTAAGTAGTTCTCTGAAATGAAGAACGTGAGGGTAGATTTGTTCATAACTAATTTACACATCAAACCTTTAAAATGAATATCAATCGTAAAAAAAAAACATCATTCCATGCAAACGATAAGTACGCTACAAACTCCTAGTATTAATAATACATTTATTACAAGTCAAGTGAAGACAGTTGCTAAAAGTAAACAACGAATATTCGAAAAACCTGATTCCTGTAAACAAAACTTACTTTAAAGTAAGCATATAATTTAATACCGCTTCAAAAATGTCCGCAGATGCATCAACAAACACCTTGAGTGAAGACGAAGACTTTGATCTAGTTACTTTCAGTATGCAACCATGTGTAGAGCTGTGATCGAAGTCTTCGCTTTCTGACTGAAAGCATTTTTTCAGCTCCTCACTCAATATGGAAATTGTTTTTTGGTTTCCATGATAAACATTCTGACCAACAACAAAAGTGACATCTGTCCTCTCAATGGTATCAGGATCACATTCAAGTACATCCGATAATTCCTTACAGAAATAATTGAATATTTTAGCTTTGGATTTTTTAGAAGAAGCTCTTTGGCAATTGATAAGTGCACACATATCCAAAGAACGAAATTTATGGTAAGTACAATCGCCAATAATAAGATCCGTTAGCAAATGCGATGAACAATTATCTAACGTAACACAATTACCTAACGAGTCATCTTTGATGATGCTGCAGCCACAACTTACCTTCAATAATTACAACAATAAAATGGGATTAAACTTGAAGAATATATTGATACGCTTAACAACAACATCGACAGGTAAATTAACTCTGAGCAGGCATATGGCAATACTATCTCATGCCCATGGATATGGTTACGCACTTGTAGGTCGAACGAGAGCTACCCTATTGGTGCGTTGACTACGGAAACAAGTCATTCAGCATTAACCGGCAAATTTAATTTTTTTCCTAACAACATGGAAATTCACTCATCCAATTAGTAGTTCAAACGACGAAATTTTCTTAAATGTACACCTGCTTATCGTTAACACTTTTCCCTTTCTTTCAATATGCTCATTATCCAGTTTAGAAATATTGTCATTTTTACTTCTAATTTTTAACTGCCTTAAATTGAGCTATCCTGGGAATTCTTAGTTAGCAAATCAATTCGAATACTTCTCATCATAGTATTGGTCTTGCGATAGTGTCTTTGGTTGGATAGTTGGATGTACATCTAAATTCTGAAGCCTTCAAGGATTACATGGGATGATTGGAAATCTAGAGTCAGGCCATAATGTAGTCTTGTAGCGGTAAACAAATCCCCAAAATAAATAGCTCTGTAAGTTTTCGACATTGGATGCTGACCACGTGTTTTAATGGACCCACCTAGCTGAAGGCGCTCGGTCGTGCATCTGCACCAGATCACTAGTGGGAACGCCGTGCTCAACATCTACTGCAATCGCTAGAAAGATTAGATCAGACAATCCCGATATATTGATAGTCATCAAATATGTCTTCCAATCTCCTCGATTCTGTCTTTTGACTTCTCTTGGTGGGTACGAGTTATATTAGGTGTTATTGACTAAAGCGTTGTCAAACACTGAGTACCTGTGCCATCTTCATTGGTGAGCCCGACGTGATCTGGTACACCAAATCGTAAACTATGAGTCTGTTCCTTTTCGGAATTCTATATATCATTGCCTTATCTTAATTTTTTATACATTGTGACATTTTTTCGTGCTTTTTGTATATGTATATATCCCTCGTTCATTATCGTACTTCATATTTCATCATCACTGAACAGACCCCCAAAGTACTTAAGCTTAAGACTTTGTCCCCACCTTTGTTTCAACTGATGCCCTTCTGGCCAGACAACATAGAAGCCTGGTTTTGCTACGCGGAAGCCGACTTCTCCGAGCACGGCGTGATCGACACACGTGCACAACTCCTCGCAGTAGTCAAGGCACTACCGCGGGAATTCAACAGGTACGTAACACCTAGTATGTTTACTAGTGATGGTGAATCTTACGAAACGCTGGAACGTTCTCTTCCTAAACCCGGAGGCCTGACCGGTAGACAGGTTAGACCAACTCCTCAATAACATCGATCTGCAACACGGTTCTTCGACGGAAATGTTGCAAGGAATGAGAGAGGTTATCGGCCAAAGAACTTTCGATGATGGTCTATTTAAACAACTTTTCTTGTCGGAGCTTCCTCAACAGGTGCAAGCTGTGCTTGTCTCGTTCCACAACAACGCATTTTAGAAATCACAAAATCTCCTGATACCGAGGTTCTTCAGGCAAAGTAAGGCCTCAAATGTCCCAGAATGACATAACAGAGTTCTGTCATACACGTACTCGTTATCTTAATTTTCGTAACGACCGTAATCGCTCGCATACCCCACGTTGAAGCACTTCACGTAAGCGATCTGTCTCTAGACCACGAGAGACGGATAACCCCGACTGGTGCTGGTATCATAACCAGTATGGAAAGTCTTCCAGAAATTGCAGAAAACCCCGCAATTTTCTCAACTCAAAACCGACCGACACGAAAAACAACTCGGAAAACTTTCAAGCCGGTACGCGTTAACAGCAACCGTAGCCGGTGAAAATAGCCGTCTGTTATACGTCATAGATGTGACAACGAGAGTTCGCTACCTCGTCGACACTGGTGCAGAAGTTAGCGTTCTCACAGCGAATTCCAACGACCGGTTCACGAATCGGCTTTAAACTTACAGGCAGCAAACGGAAAGCCTGTCGCTATGTATGGCAAAAGGTACGTTCACCTTAACGTGGGTTTACGCAAACCCATTCACTGGATCTTCGTTGTTGCAGATGTTTCTATGCCAGTCATTGGTATGGACCTTCTACAACACCATAATCTACTCATCGATACGCGCAAATGGAGGCTTGTAGACGGAAACACCAATTTATCCTTTCGTGTAACTTCTTTTTCTGGTTGCAGATTATCCCTAGTCACAATTAAGCATACGATAGACCCACTTTATCAACCACTACTCGATAAGTATCCTGGGATACAACAAACGCAACCGAAACCACCGTGTGTAACCAGCAACGTTACACATCACATCACGACTACAGGACCACCTGTATTCTCTAAAGCACGCCGACTAGCTCCCGACAAGTTACAACTGATAAGCTACATACAACTAACAAATGGAGGTGATTCAGAAAGGAGCTGAGAGTATGGGATTATGTGTAGTTTTAAACTATAGTGCTAAAAACAGTATTGTGATATACAATTGGCTGTCTCCTTTTTTTATTGAAGCTATTGGACCCCTTTTCATTTTTTGTATTATTGTTACTTTTTTAGGTATCATAGAATCTTGAGTAGGCTACGTATATTAGCAAATTGTCTAGTTTGCTTGTAATAGGACTACTGGGTAGGAAGTGAAACCAATTCAACGTTCGTAACACGATTTAAAGAGGTATTTTGCGTGATAAATCAGCATCAATACCATAAGTTCGTGACATCCCACTAAACCATAAGGAGCCGTAATTAAACAAAACGTTCTGCCCTACAGACATGGGTGGATTGAAGTTATCTCCCCACCATCATGTTTGCTGGTCAGTAACGCCACCCTCCCTCCTTTTGTGATGTTAGGCTCTCCTACATTCGTGGTAAGTATGAATACTGCTTTAATCAAAGCCCATATTTGGAATACACTGTCTCTACTAGGTCCATGTTACAAGCAGATCAGATAGTTAAAAAGTTTGTTTTACGGGTTAAATGTCCACATATTATATCACTACTATGGAGATAACTAATGGTTTAAAGAAGTAAGGACTAATAGCAAATCAAAGGATATGAGAGGGTATAAAATTGTAGAAAAAATATGAAAAGAAAAAATAAAAAGATTTTAGGGTAAGAAAAATGAAACAATGAGAAACTCACAAGACTTTGTGGCCAAATTTTGAGCTTTGTATGATCGGCCTTAGTAGATCAGCATCCATAAGATTTGAGCTATCTGTCTACTTGCAGTAGAAAAAAAGGCATGACTTTTAGGAAGAATAATGTACATTTAACCTGTAGAGATTTGGGAACTGAAAGCTAGGGTTAGGAGCATAAGGCCATGATTAATAAACAATGAATAATAGGAAAGGATAAGCCTTATATTCTGTGATTTGGTTATATTCATATTAGTAACAGTCGAACTTGTTATAATTTTGTTCTTTCTAGATACTAGGCGGTCCGTAATAAAGTGCCTCATTGGTGGGCGGGAGTTCAAGGAAATGTTGAAGCTCTTTGGAGTCTAGAAATAGGGTTATTAGCTTTTTGAATCTGGTAAACGTATCACAGTTACGGATAGGCATTGGCAGCCTGTTCCACAATAAACTGTACCGTACTGTAAAAAACTTACAACGCATTTGTTTTTGGTGTTTTACGGTAAGTAGTGTATATGCGTTGTTTCTAAGTCTATAGGCTGGGTCGTGGGTGATAGTCGGGCAGGAGGTTAGAAAGGAGAGCCCATATATCGCTTTGTAGAGAAATATTAAATTGTTTTTTAGCCTACGGTGCCATAAAGGTTCTAAAGATAGATGCTTACATCTTCTGTGTAATCGAGATTCGAGTTACATCCTAGTAGTTGACGTGTGAAACGTCTTTGAACATCTTCTACTCTTATCTTGTCTGCGATATTCATATTAGAGAAGACAAAAGAGCAGTATTCAAGGGAGGGTCGTACACATATTTTGTAGAGAGTAAGTTTACCCTCTGTTGTGAAAAAGTTTTTCATTATAAAACCAATTAGCCGTCTAGATTTAGAAATAATAGAGGAGGCATGTTCTTCAAAGTTTAGGCTTCCTGTGTAATTAATTCCTAAATCGTGTACTGATTCGAGTGTTTGGACTCTACATTCATTTAAGTGAAGTCGCGGTTTATAGGGATGCTTTCCAAAGTGCATGATCCCGCACTTGTTGAGGTTAAATGGTAATTGCCATTTTTCACTCCATATAGTTAAGTTATTGAGGTCCTTTTGGATCTGGGATACACTTTCGCTTAGTGTCTCAGGCTTATAGCTGTATACTATTTTGAGATCATCAGCATATAAGTACGGTTTCCCAAATTCTATGGTGTTACATATATCGTTTATATACATAAGAAACAAAAGTGGACCTAATACGCTTCCCTGGATGACTCCACTGGTGATTGGTCTAGGGGACGAGAGACAGTCATTGTACTTTACCATCTGTTTACGTTCTGTTAAGAACGAAGCAAACCATGAGTACAGTGGGTTGTGTATTCCGAAGGACTTTAGTTTGACGAGTAGCCTTTTGTGTGGGACCTTATCAAAGGCTTTCTTAAAGTCTAGGAATAGGACTGATACAAGGAGTCCGCTGTCTCGTTTCAGAGTTATATCATTCAGGTAGTCTACTAGGCATGTATCGCATGATCTGGACCTAAGAAATCCATGCTGGGAGGTCGAGATGAGATTATTAGTTAGTAGATGTTGGACTACAGCCGCCTTAACTACTTTTTCCATCACTCTGGATACCACTGAAGTTATGTTTATAGGCCGGTAATTTTCAACGTTTGCTTCAGGTCCTGTTTTAATTTTGGGAATGATATGTGTAGTTTTCCAGGCAGTAGGGTA